AAATTGACTTCACCTAAATTGGTTGTTTGTTTTCGGGTGTAGGCTTGTAGCAAATGGAGAACCAATGTCCACCCTTTTAATTTACAAGCACATTTCATGCATATTGTTCTCTTCATATAATATATACACCTTAAGCTTATTTGCTAAAGCAATTTGTACACGTTATAATAACTGTTTAATTTGAAAAATAGACAAACGAAAGTTGATCAATAACGCATATGAAATTCACAGTAAAGACGGAGAAGGAGAGTTTAATTCTGAGATGCAGTGAGTTAAAAGAGAAATATTTTAACTATGAGAAGTAATATTGATTTATCAATCGCTCAAACTCAATAATAGTAGCAAGTTCGATTATGCTCCCTCATGCAAAAACAAAAAAAAACAAATAATAGTCCAGTCTTTTGACAAAATAAAATAATAGTTCAATCTTTGGATTAAAAAAACAAATAATACTCAATAAAAATTTTCCTTCTAAAAAATAAAAGTTAGGTTACACTGACATTCATTCATCCCCTTATTCCCATATTAAGTAGCAGCCACCGCCCACGACCGACCACCGCATCATTCCCATATTCCTGCTCATGTGCAAGCCACCACGGCATCCCAGTTTTTCTTTTTATATGCAATCTTGGAGTTAATTCACTGCTTAGATTGAAATGAAATATGATGATACCAAAAAGATAAAAGAGTAAGGAGAAGAATGGTATCTTGCATAGTTGCATTGATGCATATATATACACAAAATGAACTCTAGTAGACAGCATGATGTAATAGAACTTCGATAAATTAATAACTTCAATTGCAAGTGGCGTTTTACTAATGAAAAAATGTTGAACTCTTGTATGACACTTCAGGTTCAAATTTCGTCAGTGACTAATCTAATATCTATTTTAACAAAATTTATGTTTAACAAAATAAAAAATTAATCATTTCAGTTAAATAATATTTTTGATCGGTTCTTGTTATGACTTTTGTTTATTTAAATGGAGTTTTGGCTTTGATTAAATGTTAATACAATGGAATAAATGTAGTACATAGAACAATGTACAATTTATTTCTGGGAAAATAAATAGATTTTGTTAATTTTACTTGGTTAAACAAATACATAGAATTGTTAGTTCTTAAAATGATAAACTCAATATAATATACAATATTTAAGAAAATAAGTAATGGAGAATTAGAGATGTCAGCGGTTCGGTTTGGGGACGGAAATGCTATATCAATCCACATAAGCACAAAAATTAACCATATCCATGACCGCAGATTAACCATCGGAATTATCCATAACCATATTCACCGAATAACAGATTTCTAATCTGTTAACGGTTATATCTATCTTCGTCAATATAAAAAATATATTTGTTCAGTTGATGCAATATAAAAAAGATATTAATTTCATCATTAAATATTTGATGTATAAAATGATTCAATGAACGGATCTTGTGGAGTATAAAAATTAAAACATTGAATTTAAAACATTGATGATGTTGGTTGATACTTGACCATAAGCACCATTGAATTCTCATTGATTTTGATTCAAAACTTTTGACCTTTCCAACAAAATGCAACTTTTGTATTCTCAAGGTAATAGGTTATGTGAATAATGAATAGACATATATTTGTATTATATAATACTATTATATTACATATTATTCGGATTAGATTCGAGGACGGATATGAATACGATATCCCTACAACCATATCTAAAACCATAATCAAATAATACTCACAATTTTCCCCATATTATATAATACTTTTGTATGCATCTCCTTTTAAGCAAGGTATATTGACTGGTATTTAAAAATGAGATTTAAACTACAGAGATGAGAGGGCTAACAAACAAGCATATTTTTTTACCAAAAATAAAAAGCAAATTTTACCATCAATTTTTTTGTATACTAATTTATTATAGTAAATCGTATACTACCAACCTTTTGCACAGATAAAGTGTCTAGTTGTTGTTTTAATTGACTTTCTTTAAATAAATTAGCATGCACGTTATATGACAAAAGAACCTGTTGGTAGATTGGATTAGTAAATATTGTAGATTGGTGGATATTTGGGTAGTAATTGTTGTTTGTGTTCCTAATTATATTCTTAATGCATTTGTTGTATTGGTGGATATCTTAATTTATTGGTTGTAAGTGATCTTAACCTATTCACAACTGAAAAAATAACACAATGATGGTCGCTTTAAAACTAATATGTGGGTGGTATTTTAAAGTTGGCTCACAATATGAGGCTGCTATAGTGCTTGGGGTACAAGAAAGAGACTATAAATTTTTACTATCGGCACCAAATAAGGGGGGTTTTTGCCAATTACACATGAACATGCCTCCTCAAGCTAGGGTCCATATGTTATACTTGTTTGACATGAGGGAAAGCACAAACTACCTTAGTTTAGGAGTGAGATAATTGCATCCTCCTTTGTTGAACCAAAATTAGGAGTGAACTTTGTTGGACATGATGTGAATTATGAAGATAGTTGTTAGTTGAGTGAGGGTTGGGATTGTTGGGTTATCTAGCATATAATTAAATAAAATCCATTTCGATCAATCCACCAGTAAACACAATCGAAACAGATGAATCGAAGAGGAAGCTTGTGGAGGTTGATGTCGAGATGGCCCGAGAAAGCTCACTGGGGTGACGACGGGGCTCATGACGATGGTTGGCAGCAAGAAAAGGGGAAGTGGAGTTGTGAAAGATGCGAAAGATATAGGCTAGGAGAGTTTGTGCTGTTGGGGAGATATAGAAGAAATGAGGCATAAGTCTCAACACAGACTTGGGTGAAAAATGCGAGTTGGGTAAGTTTGGCTTTGGGCTTAAAATTGTTAATAATTGACTTGAAATTGGGCTTGAAAAATAAATACCCAATATAGATGAATAATAAAATTAATATATATTTAATTTGATTCGATTTGGTGCGACCACTGAGATCGAAACTAAACCAAAAGATTTCGTTCGGTTCGGTTTGTTTGCATTCGATTCAGTATTCGGATCAGCTTTCAATTTTTCAAACCCAACACTAAAGTTCGGATGTTATGCAAATGATGAATATGAAGCAAATTTGAATTATACATGCAAGTTTCTTACGATTTTTTTTTAATATTTAACTTACCGTGATGATATGGAAAACAAGGCTGGTTAACTAATACAAGAATGCTTATTGTTTACGGGAAATGGGAAAGAGGGAACATTAGGAGAATTGTTTATGGCTGATACAAGAGTGCTTATTGTTGGATCTCGATCCGCTTGGTAAGTCTCCACAGACTCAATGCCTTAGAAAAATTTATTTCATTTGTAATTTTTTTTAATTGCATTAACAGTGGGTATCGTGCAGGCTCTTTGTTATGAATGTAGAAGTTGGCTTTTTCTTTTACAAGAAACAATAGAGTGGTATTTCATTGATCTTCACAAACAATTACAGAGGTTGCCATTCGGGTACAAAACATCTAGTGATCAAGAATTGAGCTAGAGTAAATTTGTACAATTAAACAAACAACAGTAAACCCCTTTACGGCTACCACAAGCGCTAGCCTACCCTGCAAAATATCATCAATACAAATCTGTCACAAAACCCAATAGACGCAACATACCTATATCAACGACCACATAGGTCATCATACAATTGCGAGGCCATATACAGTCATCACATGGGCGAGACCACAAAAGTCATCGTTGAAATACGATACCACAAACCCATCGTTGAAATACGATACCACAAACCCATCGCTTAAAGCGAAGACAACATCCAACATTAGCAAACACACAACCATAACATTGGTAGAGCTAGCAATAAAATTAAACACTACTTTGAGAAAGGGACCACCGATCAGCTCATTTTAGCGAGCAAGACACAGACCAAGACCACAATTTCATTGCACTAGTGAGCTTTGCTGTATCCATGAGTAGATCAGGTTGCACAAGGGCGAAGTTAACTCATGCGGATCCACAAGACAACAACGCCAACATATTTGAACACCCAAGGTGGCAGGTCCGCCGAATTTGAGCATGCAAGAATGCGTAACCACCAAATTGGTTGAGGAAAGCGCCACCGCCATGGAAACAAGATGATGGAAGTGAAACCAACCACCAGCAACCACGAAACCATTCCTGACCACATATCTAGCCACAAATTATGAAAGGACCTTGAAATGGGCAAGGCTCGGATTTGGGAGAGGCACAAAGCCATGGAGGTGCTGTTCACAAAATGGTGGGAAAGAACTACAGAGGGAGTAGATGAGGCGTTGTAGAAGCTAAGACCATCTCTAATGGTTGGGCTAAAAGCCAAATATTTTAGCTCGGAAAATTTAGCTTTTAGTCCAGAAATAGTTTTTCTACTCCAACCGTTCTAGCCTAAAATTTTAGCTTGGGAGTATTAAAGAATGAACTTAGGCTATTTTTTTTGTTAAATTAAATTTAAAAAAAATAAATATGTAGACTATAGTAAATTAATTTTATGAATATTTTAATCTAAAAAAATTTAAATTCCGATAAATATTGAAAAATTTAAATTCCGATTTCTAAGCTAAATTTTGAGAGGGGGGGGAATCTGGCCTTGATTTAGCATTTAGCATTTTGCCCAAATTTTCCCCTTGGGTTGAAGTGGGTTTGGGGGAAAATTTGGCTTTTAGCCCACCATTGGAGTTGGTCTAAGAGAGGGTAAGGATGGACGTGGGAAAGGGGGAAGTGAAGGGAATAACAGACGTGGATGGGTTAGCTGAGGGTTAAAAAAGGGAGAGAGATGCTAAGAAGAAGGTGGGGAGTGGCTGCCACGATGTACGACGAACGATCATGATCACGATCACGGGGTCTCGCAAGGATCCTTTTCCTGTGAAAACAACACTAATTTTTTTTACTAGAAAAGACACATGGCGAATTGTGAATGGATGAGATACACCACATCAGTAGATTTTCAAACAGGTCACCGCCTGACTACTTGGAGGGCAGTTCGGTCATTTGAAATCCAAAACCCAAGAGAGAGAAAGAGATAAGCTCTCAACAGCGCTGAGCGGAGAGAGAAAGAGAGAGAGGAGAGAGAATCAGAATGGTGACAGAACAAGAGATATCGCAAGCGTTACAAGCCCTAATCCATGACTCCACTTCCAACCCAAACACCACCACCCCAACCTTCACCACCCTAAACGACGTCGTCCGGCAGCTCGAGTCCAGGCTCGGCCTCGACCTCTCCCACAAGACCGACTTCATTCGGGCCCAGATCCACTACCTCTTCCGATCCCACCCACCCACTCCCCAACCTCAACCCCAGCCCCAACCCCAACAAATTCCTCAACCTCAGCACCCCAAAGACCATTTTGCCCTCCACCAACCCCCTAATTACCACCACCCCGCCCCCTCCGCCTTCCAGACCTTCTCCTCCCAGCCCCCGCCTCCACTCCTGAAGCCAGAGCCCGGTACCGACGCTCCTGCGCCCGTTTCAGGCTCTAACACGCCCAAGGACAGGTTCGTTTTCTTTCCTTTGCTTTTGAATAATTTCTGTTTGGTTTCCGAGAAAATTGAGGGATGGGAATAATGCAATAGGGCTTGGCATGTTGTATTGTGTTTGGTTAATTCTACCATGTCTCAGCTTGCTTACCGCGAAATTGGTATTCCCCTGGCCAATTTGTGTGTTTGGGGAAATTAGGGTTTAAGGAAATTGGTATTCACATTTTGTTTCCAAACTTCATTTCCTTCATATTTTTGAGCCGTTGTTTGGCTTTCAATAAAATTTGAGCAACAGCGAGAAAATGGATAGTATGCTTTGCAGAAGTCAAAATTTTCCGTTATTTGGGGAATGAAATATGACCAATGGCAAGAAAATGGATAGTATGCTTTGTAGAAGTTAGAGAATTTCCCTAGCTTTATGTTATTTGGGGAATGGGAAATCGAGAAACTTGAGAAGTGCGAAGAGAAAGAGAAGTTCCACTGCTCTCTCGCTCGCTATCCCCGAGCATTCGGGGTATATAGGCTTACTGTAGAATGCTGTTTCCAATTGTATCGGTGTTGGCGGGGTATATGTAAGGTGTACTTGTTTGCAGTAGCTATTTGGAATGTCAAAGTCTTGGTTTGCAAGCAATTAGTAGGGAGAGCTGCTTACATGATGTAGTTGTTCTAGTAAGTTAGGTGCGTAATGGTAGTTTGATGTTTGGCCTAATATTTATGTGCGTTTATCATTTATAAGCAGTGCTAAACCTAAATCTAAGAGAAAAGGTGGCCCGGGAGGTCTAAACAAACTTTGTGGTGTTTCGCCTGAGCTTCAGGCCATTGTTGGTCACCCAACTCTCCCAAGGACTGAGGTTCGTGCTCATCCATTTGTGCTATTCGTAAAAGTTGATTTATTATCGGCCGGGAGGGTTTTTATTTTATTTTGTTTTATATTTAATGTTGAGTTCAGATTGTTAAACAACTGTGGGCTTACATAAGGAAGAACAATCTCCAAGATCCCGGTAACAAGAGGAAAATTATTTGCAATGATGAGCTGCGAGTGGTTTTTGAGACAGACTGTACTGACATGTTTAAGATGAACAAGTTGCTTGCTAAACATATTATTCCACTCGAACCATCAAGTATGTATTTGGTGTAACAGTTCCCTCTATCTGGGTGTATGGGGCCACAATATTCCTATATGTTTTGTGGTATGGGTATAAAATATAATACATGCCTAAGGAGATGTTTTGGTGCTCTCAGAACCAGCAGTTCCCAAGAAGCCCAAGGTGCCAAAGAATGCTGTGGAGTCTGCAACAAAAAGTACAGAACCGAGTCCTTCCCTGATAATATCTGAAGCACTTGCAAATTTTTTTGGTGCTGGTGTAAGGGAGATGATCCAGTCAGAGGTTGTAATGCGTATCTGGGAGTACATAAAGGTCCACCATCTGGAGGTAGGTTGAATCCGACACCACATTCTCAAACTAAATAAAGAAATAAATAGAAAATAATAAATTTATTTTGATTCAGCGACTGTTAAATTGAAGTTCTCTAGCACAAATGTAAATCGAACTTCAGAAACCAATTATACTAATGTTTAAATGCATCTCCAGGATCCTCAAAATCAAATGGCTATACATTGTGATGCAAAGCTTCAAGAAATCTTTGGTTGTGAAACCATCAATGCATTGGAAATACCAGATATTTTGGAACGTCATCACATATTCAGGAGATGATAATAGGTTTGTAGGCATTGTTTTCATAGTCCGTTTTTGTTTTGTTGTTTACAAGTAGGTTCATGGATGTTAAATTTATCACTCTGCTGTTTAGTTGCAATTTTCCTTCTTTAACTCTTAATTGTACTAACCGTTGTAGTTCTTGTTAGATTCATTTTGACCGTTCATCTACATCATTGCTTCCTTTCTTCTTTTCTTTTAATTCTCAGTCCATAAGTTTTGATTGAATGTTGGTCATTTATTGCAGTTGCAGATCACAGGCGCAATAACTTTGTGCGCTAAACCTTCATGAGAAATTGATGTATTTCCTTGTACTTCGAACGGTTATGTAGCATATTTTTACTTTAGGTCATGTTTGTAAGTAGAGTGATGGTATGAAAATGTACCAAGGTTCATGGCAGGTCTTATTTTGCCGATGGCGCCATGGTTTGTCTGACTAGGCCTGTTAGGTTTAGAGTGTGCAGCTTCTGGAGTTTCTAACACCTGTAAAATAGCTGACACTAGAAAAAACAGAACCAAATGTAAGCACATGTTCTTTAACTCGTTTCAGTTAATGAATGTATTTATTTAGTCGATATCGGAGTTTACCTTTACTGTTTTACCCATTTATTTAGTTGAATCCTATCGGCGTATCTTATAGATAAATTTAGTGTAGAATATCTGAATCGATTGTTTAAAACATTATTTAAGAAGTTGCAATTCTTTATTAATGGTTGGGCGTCCTGTGACTCGGTTCCTACCAACTTGTTCACATGACAAACCCAGAATTTGACACAAAATTATCAACAATCTTCATCTCGCACTATAAATCTACCCCCAAATACAAGAACAAAATGTGCTCCTTTGAGTGATATGGAGAGATACAATGACAAGGACTAGCAGTGTTGTCCGCCAAGTCAACTTACACTGCTTCTGCAACTTCAAGTCCATCCTCCCTTCGATTGTGGTCGACCTGCGCTGGCTATGGCGTTGCCTAAGAAGTGTGTCGTGAAAACGCCACGAGAAAGCCAAGTGTGTCGTGAAAACGCCACGAGAAAGCCGCGGTAAGATGCCGAAGCTTCCTCGGCGCTAATTATTTTGTCGATTTTTACAGGATTACACTGGTTTCTAACTGTTATTGTCTTTGGTTCATTGCAGTCGTTTGAAGCACTTGGAAAACATGTACCTGTGTAATCCCTGTTTGGTTATTACCTCAACATACGCATAATAATATGTACACGGTTTTATAAGTCCACAAATTTAGTCCGCAGGCTCGATGATTCATTCCGCCCTGTAACAAGGGTAACATCGAATCCCTCCCCGTATGAAAGTAAAATCGAACCCCTCGAATTCACATTTAACGGCAGAAAAGGCTGACGTTTTGCTTATGCTGTCCTACAAATTAAGCATCCTCGCGTTCGCAACAAGTTAATTTAGGGTGTAGCTGCTTCTAGCAACAGGACACGGCAGTGTTTCGTTATTCAGGACAGATACTACCAAATACTTGAAATAATAAGAGTGCACCTGCGCGCTCGCACCTGTTTAAAAGCCAGAGCAATAGAGACTGCTCCTCCTCTCATCAACCCGGGCCGCCATATGACTATGATTACCAGCATACATACTAACCTGGTTCTTGAATGAAATTGACGCTGATCTCTCTGCCCGTCTATTCGTGAAATTGGAGAGTGCTGACAGAGGGAATACAAACGCAGCACGTCCAATCAATATTAACAGATAAGAGAAGAATCCCCTAAGCCGCAAGAAAAGAAAAGGTACCCAAAGTTGGATGATCCGATGTATGCAGAATTTAGTAAATCGATAACTTCATAGAAATTCAGGAGGAAGAGTACCTTAACTTAGTTAACTTCCACTTCTCGATGTCAAGAGCATCCATCCCCACATAAAGAAATATGAATGTTTCTGCTATAAACGACATCATCGCAAATACATGCCTGAAAAGGATGTTATGGGCACTTTATGAATTGACTATGAACTGTCCATACATTATACATGCCTGGTTGTGATTCTTGAACTTTCAGTGATGTTATGCCATGCGTAGTGTGACATGAGAATCCCACAGAAGAAAACAGTGAGAATTCCACTCAGGTCGAACGGCTGTATGTCAATTAAAATTAATGGAGGTTTTCAGCTACACGGCGAAATGACAAACAAGCTTCCAAGTTTATTTCTCCAAAATATACAAGAACAGATAAGAGAAGAATCCCACACATGCGAATGAATTATTGAGCTTGGAATACATGATGAAACATAAGTACAACGAAATTTTTAAGTGTTGAAGTACACCTTAACCTCAGCCACCATGTAAGGCAGATAAGCCATTAGAACCACTACGGAAATCTAGCGGATGCTGGAATGCCTGTAAGAGAGTATAAAATAAGATTTGTAAAGGTACCATCTGATATTTCCTACAACATCTATCACAAATGTCTTTGCCCCAAGGGATCTGTGAACATGCTACTAACCTTCCGAAGCATAAGGTTTGAAGGGCATACGCTGCCTGTTGAAATATAAGTGTTTTAGCTGGGATAACTTTGTATTAGCCTTAGTTGAAATGAGAGCCATTGGATTACATTCCAATTAGAGTTAGTGATGTGTGTTGACACTTGTAGCTCTCTTATAGGGTAGATTACATGAATGGTGGTGATTGAATCTTGTAAGAGAGGATCTCTCTCTCGTTCTAACGGTATTATTCTCGCACATGCCTTGTGTGCTAAGATAGAGTGAATGAATGCACGAATCCTTCTATGTGAATACTCTCTCTGCAATTCTCTGAGATTTTTCTAGAAACCTTCATCACCATTTTCAATTCAGTCTTTACACTTGAAATCATAGTCTTTGAGATTCTAACATGGCCTCAAAGCCAGGTTCAATCGTTTAACACTAGACGTTTGAATCTATGAAGGAAACGATTTGAAATTTGAAGAAATTGCTTGCAAGATCTATGTCTAACATGGTAGGGTCTGGAGGTGGTGAGCTAAGAGCGTCGATCTTTAATGGCGAGAATTATGAATTCTGAAGCATAAGGATGAAGACGATCTTCAAATCTCATGGATTATGGGAATTTGTTGAAAAAGGAGTAGAGTGCTTAGATTCGAAGGGAGCTGATGAATTTGATGCAAAGAAGAAGGAGAAGGAGGAATCGAGTGATGCTACAACTCTCACGGAGAAGCTCATGAAAGATGCCAAGGCTTTGGGGCTGATTCAGGGAGCGGTTTTCGATGAGATATTTCCTCGGATCTCTCACGAAGAAAATTCTAAGGGAGCTTGGATTATCTTGATGCAAGAATTCCATGGTGACAAACAGGTTAGAAGTGTTAAATTACAAGGTCTTCCTAGAGAATTTGAATATACCAGAATGAAAGATGATGAGTCTTTGTCCGTTTATCTTACAAAATTGTTTGATCTGATAAATCAAATGAAAAGTTATGGAGAGGAAATGTCTAGAGAGAGAATTGTGCAAAAAATGTTGATTAGTTTACCCTCTGCGTATGATTCCATATGCTCTGTGATTGAACATTCAAGGGATATAGATGTGATTGAGGTTCAAGAGGTAGTTGCCTCGTTAAAAAGTTTTGCACAGAGATTGGAGAGACATAATGAGAACAAGACTGAGAGAGCATTTGCAAGTCTTAGTGTGAGCCCCAAACCTGCCAATTTTTCTGGGAATCAAAGCAATCAGTACCAGAAGAATTGGAAACCAAAATTTAAAAAGTGGGATAAAAAACCTGCTTACCAATCTGGGAAGCAAATTGTAGCTGCAGAAGGTGTTAGAATCCTTGCAGGCATTATGATAAGTATCACTATGGTGAATGCTTTCTTAAAGGCAAACCCAAATGTCACTGTTATGGGAAAATTGGTCACATTGCAAAGGACTGCAATAACAAGAAAGGTGGTGCTTAGCAGCTAAATTATGCAACTCAGGTTTTTCCTACACTAACTATGTTCTATGCTAATAATGCAGTTGATAAGAAGTCCATTGAAGATGTATGGTATGTGGACATGGGCTGTAGTAACCATATGAATGGCAGAGAGGATGTGCTAGTTGATATTGACAGAAGCATAACTGCAAAAGTAGAAATGGGGACAAGACAATTGGTTAATGTAATTGAAAAGAAAGTTTGGTGATTGACACTAAGATGGGAAGAAGGTATATAAAAGAAGTGACGCTTGTCTCAGGTTTAAAGAAGAATTTACTCAATGTAGGGTAGATGATGGAGCACAGATACTTTCTGATTTTTAGAGATAATAAGGCTGAAATTTATGATGACTCATCTCTTTCTAATTTGGTTGCCAAGGTACCAATGAAAGGAAACAAAAGTTTTCCTTTGAAACTTCAAACAGACTTACACATTGCATTAAGGGCATATGTGAGTAAGTCAACCTTGATTTGGCATAGGAGGATGGGACACTTGAATGTCAATAGTTTGAAGTTACTTCAGGAGCAAGAAATGGTGTTTGGCTTGCTAGAAATCAAGAACACAAATGAAGTTTGTGAAGGGTGCATTCTTGGGAAGCATTGCAGAGATTCATTTCCAATAGAGACAACAAGTAGGGCCACTATTCCACTGGAATTGGTACACACTGATGTTTGTGGACTAATGCAAATTGTTACAAAGGTTGGAAATAGGTACTTCTTCACCTTTATAGATGATTGTACTCGGATGTGTTGGGTTTATTTTTTGAGATACAAATTTGAGGTGTTCAATGTCTTTAAAAAGTTTAAGGCTACTGTTGAACTACAAAGTGGGTATAAGTTGAAGAAACTGAGAAGTGACAGAGGATGAGAGTATACTTCCATAGAGTTCAACAAGTTTTGTGAAGAAATGGGAATGGAAAGACAACTCACTGTGGCATACTCACCACAGCAGAATGGAGTGGCTGAAAGGAAGAATAAGACCATTGTGGAAATGGCTAAGTGTATGATGTTTAAGAAGAAAATACCATTGGAATTTTGGGCTGAGGCAGTTAACACTGCAGTGTATGTCTTAAATATGTGTCTAATAAAGCTTTGGTCAAGAAAACTTTATTTGAAGCATATAGTGGAAGAAAGCCAGGAATTAAGCATTTGAGGGTGTTTGGTTGTCTATGTTATGCACACATTACAGAACAACAAAGACATAAACTTGATTTGTCTAGCACAAGATGTGTGTTTTTGGGGTATGGAAGCTGTGAGAAAGGCTACAAATCGTATAACATTGAATCTTGAAAAGTTATCATTTACAGAGATGTAGTATTCAATGAAGTAGCAAGTTGGGATTGGAGTACACAAAAGGAATGTAGTATTTCAGTCCCACTTACTGATCTGCTTATTGAGAAAGAAAAAGAGATTGGTGAATCAAGTTTATCTCGAACTGAGATATCAAAAGGTGATGGTGAGACATTAGGGAATATTGAAGAAACGCATGTTGGAATTGATGTTGTAGGACAAAGTGGAGGTTCAGGTCCACAGGATTTCGATCACACTCTACTCAACTATAAAAGTATTGCAGAAGTGTATGCAAAGTGCAATCTGTGCATCATTGAGCCTGAAACTTTTGAAGAAGCTGCAAAGGATGAAGCATGGTAGAAAGCAATA